TGTATCAACTGTGATAATTTAAAACTTTAATTAAAGACGTGGTGACAGATTATTTACAAACCGTCTTCCTGCTGCCCAGTATTTCATCACAAATGTCTCCAGAAGCCCACGCTAACGTGAGTAAGCACACTTGCCAGGAAGTACTTCACTGTGGACGTGTTAGCTTTCATCTGTCTTGTTGGGTAACAAATTCTTTTGTTGAGGATTGGTAGCAACCAAAATTAAATTAAAAGCAAAACCAGACCCCAAAACAGAAATGTATAAAGCTTTTTCTGTTCATCCCTCAAGAAAATGAAAGTGCCAAGGCAAAGTCTATTTTAGCAATTGCGTTAATGTATGTGTAAATGGGTGAAGGCGCCTTTGAAATGCTCTGAAAAGAATTTCACACTTTAGAGAAATTTAACAATTCTATTGTGGCATTTATTGGAAATTCTAAATTAATTTCCCCGACACAGCTGTGCCATAAAATCCCCCATGATGATGAATTTTTGCTAATGTCGAGATTATTTCTGGATACAATTCTGAAGGAGCACTTTGTAAAGTCAGGGGATCCCTGTGCTGCCCTCTCCTTGCCTCCACTCACCTCCAGCCTTTCCCCCAGCAGCTGCGAGGCTGCTAATTTGAAATTGCATCTGTTTTTTTCTTCCACGGAGCAGCGAATGGGGCACAGACGCACAAGTGGCATGAAGCTGAGCCCTCTTAGAGCAGTGGGCAAAGGTCAGCGTGTCGCTAACTCGGCGCAGCGTTGGGGGGAAGGACCTCCAAGGGGAGGGCGCTCCTTGATGGAGCACATCTGCTCACCCCCCCTCAAAGGGGACATTGGGAGCGGGTGGGTTTGGCTCTGAGCAAACAGCACCGGGGAAGGTGAAACGCAGAGTTTCCCCCTTTGCACACAGCAGTAGGTGAGAGCTGCTCCAAAGTGGCAAAGAGGAGGAGCCCATTTAATCTGGATCACAGATTAAACCAGACTGAGAGATGCGAGTGATGATACACTGGGGATCCCTCCCATCCCTGCATCCTGCATCCTTGCCAGACCATGTCCAAAGGGCTGAAGGAAACGTAAAGAGCAACCTCACAGCGATACATAAGGAAGGGCTTTAAAAACCACACGTCCCACCAATAACGAGGCTCAACCTGCAGCAGGGATAGATTTATGGGGAGGGACAAGCAGAGGTTTGGAAATGAAGAGTGCAAGGGCAGGTGAGAAGACCCAGGGGAGGGTAACACCACACAGGCACGTCTACAGCCCCGGACACAGGAGGATGGGGACCTCGTGGGGGATTTTTGCTCGCAGAGACTTTGGTGTAAGCAGAGTGGATGGATTCTTGCTGAACTGCAGGAGAACCTGGGGGCAGGAGGGACAGCACAGGTGGTGGCAGCCACGAGCTTGATTTTAACAGTGATAGGCGAGTTTTAGACCCCGCAGAGGAGAGAGTTAACAATAGCTGACACACTTTTGTCTGGAGAAGTCACAATGACTAGAAACAACAACTCGGGGCCATAATTCTGCGGTCTGTCACTACCAGGAAACGTGAAATCCAGTGACCTTTCATCTCCACGACAGAAATGCTGCGCAGCACCTGGAGCCATCGCCCTTAAAATCCACTCTGACAAATCTGACGATGGGACATGAAGGAGACAACGTCCTCTCCCTCCCTTCCTCCCCCCCAAATTTTAGCCTCCCTCCGCCTGCTCTGCATGTAATGCGGTATCCCCCCGCTGAGCAGAGCCAGCTTTGCACGAGCTACACCACATTTAGCAAAGCACAAGATAACAATTCTATTTCTTTTGACAACGAGGAATAAATCTCCAAAGCCACTTGTTCAGACTGCTCTTAAATGATGGTAGAGGGAGGGAAATTGATATTGGCTTTTTATGAATCTTCAGGTCAGGTATGTTAGAATCAACAGATTTTTGCATTAACCTCACTGCTTCACAGCACTTTTGCCCTTGGCAAGACATAATTAAGAAAGGCATGAAAATCTATCTGAATGTATGGAGAGGAATTATTCTCCTGTTAATGGCAGCAACAGCTAAACAAGCAGGCAAGCCACGCTGCTAGCAGAGTACAGCAAACGAGGCAGGGCTGTGGTTTAACCTAAACTGAGGATTTTCCTTACCAAAATTTTAAGGAGTAGCTTTTGAAATGAGGATTTGCATTACATGTTGTTGTGAGGATTAACTTTTTTTTCCCTCAACATCTGTATCCCTGAAGGTCTTCTGTTTGCCAGTCTAAAATGATGAGCACAGGGACGGAGACTAAGCTAAAATCTTTTCATCACATCAAGACATGGCACTGTAACTATCTTCACCACTTTGGTAGAAAGCAAAAGCTACTGGATGGAAGGAAAAAAACCAAATAAATTAAAGAAAAAAGGGGGTTTCAGTCATTTAAGTGGGTCTGTCAGCTTGTGTTATCTTCATGCATTTGTGAAACTGAGCTTTAATTGACTCGCTGCAGTGGATTGCTGAAAGATAAAATCTTGACCTCAAGATGAACAGACAGCTTAAAGCGTTGCGATCCTCATTCATTAGGATGTGTCAGAGGGATTCAGAGGGGAAAGAGACAGCAATGTCTGTTACTCTTTCACATGAAGTTCCCAAAATGTTAGAGGGAGGCGAAGGGTGCATGCCATACTCGGAGCCACATCCAAGAGCAGTAACAAAATTTGCTCATCGGATTCCCTGTGACCAAGGAGACTATCCTGGCGCTTACTAATTTCTATCACTCCATGAATTCTATCATCTCATTTGCGAAGGATAAAGCCGAAACTACAAGCATTGTCCAACTCTTAGCCAGTCAGCTCCAGGTGCAGCAGGAGGAGCAGAAAGCTGACAGTCAAGGGGAGGTCTCATATCTCATCCCTACAGCCAGGCTGGGACACAAGGAGGGGTTCAGCTCCCCTCCACAGTACCTCCCCATGTAGATATGCTCCTCGATCCCAAGGAACAGCCGTGCCACCGCGCCGCCTCTCCCCTTCATCCACCACTGGCTCAGAGCTGTGCTGCAAGCCCTGGTCTCCCTGGCCTCCGAGATCCGGATCCCCAAGGCATGCAGGCTGCTCTTAAGAGGACGGCGAGAAATACTTCCCTGCCTAAAACAGGTTTTACAGAAATTGATATTTGTGTCTCTAACAGATGAGTGAAGAGAGGAGTGGAGAAATTTGGCAAAACCACAGAGGAAGCCTTGTCTTCTAGTTGAGGGTTCCAATCACTGCGCTGTGCCCTGGAGCCGCTTCAGCAGACACCAGATTGTCCTTCTGTCCTCCCGTCCTCCCGTCCTCGTTCCCATCAGCAGGAGCTGCTTCTTTCCCTTTCCTCCCGGTTACCTGGGCACTCTGACTGGTTTTGGAAGAAAGTTGCTGCCCACTCCCAGTCACCAGGGATGTTGGGGACTGCAACACAGAAAGCCAGCGACCCCCAAATTGGGAAGTCTGGTTACTGGGGGAAATGGTCATGGTGGTGAAGGGCTGGTAGGGAAATCCAGCAGCTCCTGGAGCTGTGTGAAGCCACCTTTGAGTCTTCACTCCTTGGAAGCCTGAGTGATGCTCAGATGGGAAACAGATGGGAAGAAATCAGCAAGTACTTCCACCCTAACCGAGAGGGGATTCAGCATGGTACCCTATACACGATGGGAACACAGAGGCCAAACACACACGAGCGGCATTTGTTCGGTGTAAATGAACCAGAGCTACGGTGACAGGCACGGCGATGGCCATTGTTACCCCTCCCGGTCATCAACCCAAGATAGCAGTCTTGTTGAGTGCGATGGGAAACCTCACAACCAAGCACAGCAGGCCATATGCAAAGGCGGTGGATAGAGCCGGTTAACATACCTTGTCTCTGAGGTTCATCAACAACAGCAGCAAACCAATGACATTTCCCATGAACATTTTCTGCTTTTCAAAAGAAACATAAAACTCTAAAGGAAATCCTTTCAAAATATTTTTGAGTAAAAATCACAGTTTAATATAAACCTCAGAGGTTCAAGTAGTATTTTTGGTATTATTTTCCAGACTGGTCTTAATTTTCCCAATTCCTTTAGTAAAAATATTTTGCATTTGCAACTCTCTGCTTTTTCTCTGTCTTAAAGAGCAGAAAATGTGTTGAAAATGTTATTTCTTTGTAAACATTTTCATTTAGATTCAAAAGCAACCATTACTCTTACCAGCAGCCGTGATGTATGTAAGAGGAAATACATATGGATAGTGAATTCTAAACACGAGAAGATGAGTCTAAGTAGCCATTTCTTCTATGTTAAGAAAGCCATGAAGAGTTTATGTGAAGCTAGCTCAGCTTTTAATCTGTCTTCATATCCACGTTAGGAGAAAGGTGCTTTTCCAGAGACATATGTGTGTACGGGCTGCGGTACAAGGCCGGGGAGACCTTCTTGGAAAAAGATTTATTTTCCAAAGAGGTACTTTCAGTCATCCCAAAATCTTTCTTGAAGGTATTGCTGAATCAGACTCCAATT